AGGCATCGTCGCGATGACATGTCAAAAGATCGTAGAGCTCTTCGTCCGGGCTTTCACAGGCAGGTGCAGCTGAGCTAGGAGTTTCCATGGTGACATAGGGAGGGAAGCTGCATAATCATTGCCCAAGCTTGATCCCAAACATAACTTGATGCAGACACACAACCATGAGCGAAGATAATGCTCATCGCCCTCGATCTATCTAGAGCCTCTCCAATTCTTTGAGCTTCCGGCGCCCTCGCCAATGTCGTGGCTGAGTCCACGAACGAGTCGGCTTGGGGTAGAACCTGGCATTGCACATAGCTTGTGGCTTTCTAGGGGTTTCTCGGGCTTCAGAGTAACAAGCAATGATTGGGTTCTTTTGCAGACCCCCAGCCAGATAAGCAGCACGGTTGAAAGACCCCAGTAATTAGGAGTGCACACATTTGCGGCCATTTGCCACAAATCAGCTTCAGGGCGGATGCTCCAACGATGCAGGTTCTGCCCGCACCATCTAGCAATCTCCCAGGAAACAGCGGAACACTAGCCGGTTTTGGGCTTCATTCCTTTCTTGGCTGAGGCTTTAACCTTGGGCTTCGGACCCTCAGTCGTTGCCTTTGGCGCGGGCCTTCCCTTGGGTTGCTCGGAACTCACCTCGTTCTTGTCGTAGAACTTCTTGGCGGTCCTACGAACGGGATTGTTTGAAGGGCAGAACATTCGACCCAACAGAAACAGCCACGACACATTGGCAACTTTAGCAGAACCCGAATAGCCCAGCAATACATGTCTCAGGAAGTTTGGCGCTGCTGCTGCATGCTGCTCCTGATCTTCATCTCGGTCGCTGATGCTCGGGAGCACCTGGGCCGGAGAGGTTAACTATGTAAAGGGGTCGTATGGCACCGGGTTGATCTGAGACGAAGACACAACAGTCACCTCCTTGATGCGAGCTTCCATGGACTTGTAGATCCTTAATTAGTGGGACTGGGTTTGTGTTTTTGCAAAGCTGCTAACCATTGCTCAGTGCATAAATACATACAAGGCAAGCAGCTCCTCACTCATGCCCTGAGAATCAGCCTTGGCCTTCTCGTCGCAGCACTTGTCATACTGGGTCTCCATGTCTTTGATCTGGGTTTCCAAGCCACTTGTGCACCTGGGCTGCAGGATTCGTCTAGGAGGGAATATTGGCAAGAGGGACTATAGGACTTCGGGTCTTAGAGGGTGGTTATCCAACATATTTTCAGGCTCGCGTCTTCGTGGTTTCGGCATCCTTCTTGTATTTTTTCTGCAACTCACGAATGAGGGCTCGAAGCTTCGAGATCTTTGTCATGGTGGATTCCATTTGCTTCTCCAGGGTTGCTTTGGTCTGAGCGTGCAGAAATTGAGCAATCTCAGGAACCTTCCTCTAGCAATTATTCTAGCCTTATAACTATATATACTTTCATAACAAACCTTACAACACCATAAGCCAGCCTGGCTCCACTTGTGTGCGGAGTGGTCCACGGCAGGGGCCGGGGTGGCTGCAACCGGCTCCATACGAGCACTCAAATCTTCGAGAGCCTTGAAACTCTCGAGGCCCTTTGGCACCTCGGGCACATCCTCAACCTGGCCACGAGGTTCCGTGGCGGTCTATATAGGGCTTTAAGGGTTTATAGAGTTTATACAGGAGGAACTGGTATGGGATTGTTTGTGCACGGGTCTGTTTATCACACTCCCTCCCTCTCTTCTTTATTTACCGTATTTATGGATCTTCTGTATCCCTCTCTCTGCCTCTCTCCCTCTCTCTGTATGATGTGTATACATGTGTATTTATTCATATATAAACATATATATATATATGTACAGGTTTGTCAAATTAAATAAATATATATATATATATATGCATATGAATATGTATATATATATATATATAGCCCGTCCATTTATCTCTCTCCCTCTCTCACTTTCACTACCTCGCACTCTCTCTCTGCATCTCTCTCTTTCTCTCTCTCTCTCTCTCTCTCTGGCTCTCTCTCTGCTGACAGAAAGTCACGATTCACCGAAACCTCCTTGATCTTCTTGTGCGACTCTTCGTAGGAGTGCGTGTGCTTCCGTTTTCCGGATTCACGGACTGTGACCCAGAACTCCTCCTGCCCATCGTAGGCATTCAACCTTCCGGGAAATATTCTGAAAGATCGATGCCCTGCTAGCTTGCATATATGGTAAGGACCCGAGCCTCACATGCGAGGCACCCTTGGCCCTACAAGCCGCAACAGCACCATCCGCTTTCTTCCTTGATGCAGACAGCATGTTAGGAACATTGGTCCTAGCCGTGGGATACTGTCTGTGCCTAGCTTGAAACTAACGAATACAAGAATCTCCGACCAGCCCAACTCGTTCACCATCTCATCTCGTGAGTACCAGCCTTCTTCCACTTGAAGCTGAACCTTGTTCTGCTTTTTGATCTCGATCTGCAAGGTGGCCACGAACTGTGCCTCGGCAGCGACGGGGCATTGGAAGTGATCTTGGCATGCAATCATTTTAATGCAGGAGCATGTTTTGGGCCAAATGGTGTTTATAGGGACTATATATATATATATAGGGGGTCCTTTAAACTGGTTTGTGGTGCTGATTCTCGGATGATTGCTCGTGGGCCCCAGGGCTTTGCATTGTTTGAACTGAGAGGAAGCTTCGGAGCCTTGTGGATTTATGATTGGTCGGTATGGTGCGAAACCTTGAACCCCCAAAAAAGCAGTAAACCTTTGCTTGGTCGGTATTGAAACCCTGAACCCGAAAACCCCTATAAACCCTTTAATCCTTTCTAGATCCATCTCTGCATGAGAGCTACCTTGTCGAAGTTAACTCGCTGAAGCAGCTGCGCCATTTCCGTGCGCTTGCCGCTCTCCCATTGCTCTCTTACGAAAGCAGGTACCTGAAGATCCTTTCTGCGACTTTTCTCCTTGACCATACGGGCTATTCTGGCCTTGGCGGCCCGGAGTAAGCGCTCCTCGGAACATCAGGCTACACATTTATATGTTTCGTGATGACATCGATTGTTGAAAGAGCTAAAAGTCAAGGCTCTTGCCGGCTGATAACCCGAACCTTCTTGCCGGCCTCATCCGGCTCTGTCTTGATCGTTCCATCCTCCCCTGCTTCTTCTGACTTGTCATCATCAGACAGCAAGCCGGTGAGGGCGAGGTACATGTCCATAGCCGAGGCCTGCAAGCATCCCATAAATGTCGAGTACCATAATATATAGTGGGAAAAGAAGAAGAAGCGACACAGTATACACCTATTTTAAATTATTGATACATCTATATGACTCCATATACATATATATATATATGTACAGGCGATGTACACAGGGCTCATATATATATATATATATATATACATACATATATAGCTGAGAGGGTTGCAGGACTTAAGGGTCTATATAGACAGGGTTAAGTAGAAAGACCCCCAAAGCCCAAACCGATCAAAGGATAAACCCCGAAACCCATTCCGTAAGAGCAGCCTTCTCCAGCTCCGCATCACATTCTGCATCGTCAGCCTCCCAGGTGCAAACAAGATAGCTGGTGTCCCCACTACAAGAGAGAGCTCTATATGGATTGCGAATACAAACACATCGCCTCCTCGAAGGCTTCCACATCCACTACTGTATAGGCATCATTCTTGCAAGGAGAAGGACCAGGTTCTTCAGAGACTTCGGGTCCAGCGGTCGCGGGGGCAATGTTCTTCTGAGGATTGTCGGAATCCACAAGGGTATCAAGGCCCGAACCCAAGCCAGCTTGCAGAAGCTCATCAACCGAAGCCTCCATTACAGGATATATGTGTTTGCACAAGACTTTGTACTTTAGCGAAAAGCAGCACCAGTCAACAATCAGCCCAGGAATCTCACCGGCAGCGTTTCCGGTGCATCATCGTCATCTGCCATCTGCTGCAGCTGCAGATACGAGGATGCCTTGGCGAAGGCAGAATGAGGTCTTGTTTCTGAGGCACAGTTTTTGCAAAGGCATCCGAGCATGTGTGTGTGTGTTGCATGCGGGGCCCTGGCCTTATCCTCTTGGAGCTGTAGCTCTAAGTCCTGGGTTGAGATCTCAGACTGCACTCAAAAGATACTGCGTGCGCATGATGCGTGCTTGATATACAACACAAAGGTCCAGTCCTGCATCTCTAGCAGCATCTGCTCCACAGTAAGTTCCGACGATGCACTTTCGACATGTGCAACACCATCCTCAAGCGTCGAACAGCTCCATAGCTTCGACACTGGGCCCTTCGTCATCACTATCCCAGCACCCCTAACCTAAAGATCAAGAACTTAAAGCCTCAGCAATGGACAAGCAGGTGTGCATCAAGCTGCATCAATCTGTTCTGCCGTAACTGGATCAGATGCACAAAATATATATGCAGCTTGGACGGCAGCATTTGCAAGCTTTTCGGAAGTTTGCTTATTGTGCTGCGGGCAATTCCAGCAGCCACAACGAATTGCGAATTAAAACCCCGCAGAAGCCCGTGAAAAACTCTGGCCAAAAGCTACCAAAATATGTTGATTTGTGTTAGAAACCGTACACCCTAAACCCGGGGGTTACCCATGACGCGGTCACGGCTTGGGGACGGGTCTGGCACGCTTAGGGCACGGGTAGGTCACGGGTTGGGCCAAACCCCGGGTTTGCTCAAACCCCAGGTTTGCTAGGGCAAATCACGGGTTCAGGGGTCCCAGGAGATAGGCAGAACCGGGGTTTGTGGTATCAGAACCCGGGTTTAGCTAGCCAGGTCACGGGTTAAATCACGGGTTAGAGCTCCCCTCTAAGTACCCCGTAAGATAATAGTTGTAAAACCACGAAAAAGCGCCCAAAAAAAACAAAAAGCCTACAAAAGCGTTAAACAACCAGGCCCTCCATCCCACCTAAAACCCAAAATCCCGCAGGCCAAAGTACATTCCGAACAGGATCCAAAGTGCATCCTAGATAACAATATGACCCATAACCCTATAAACCCCAAACTACACTGGCCCAGGTATTCTAAATCGGTTTGCACTGAGGACTCTAAAGGCTTGCTGGTATGACGGCCCGCCACATCTCTGGCAGCCTGAGCTTCCGCCCTCCCCTCAAGTACCTGTACACATCCGGAAGATCTGCAAACTGAAAATTGTCATCCTCACCTGTCATCAGAACAGAGAGCTGTTCCGGGCCCGACGGAATATTCTCCGGCTCTTGAGGACATCCTTTGCGGTGGGCCTTCAGATCCTGGCTGATCCTCACGAGCTCGGCACAGAAGGCGGCTGGATACTTCCTCGGAAAGACAGGGGATGTTAGGTTCTTAGGGTTCTTAAGTTTGTTGTTGTCGGCCGGGATTAAAAGGATTCAGGGCTCGAGTTGGCATTGTTATGCTTGCGACAGGGCTGGCTAAACTGGCTTTCAAGTCGGGGTAATCGGGCCTCGGGGCTACTCCCTAATACCTGGCTCGAAATATTTCTATGACGATTACACATTACATACGTGGTTGCTTACTGAAAATCAAGATAAGGATCCCCGTGTCTTCCAGAAACCGGGTTCCAGTATACTTCTCCTTGCCACCATGAACCCGAGTCCTTTTCGTGGTGTTCGACCGAACCCCAAATCGACCCATCATCAAGCGGCCTTTGTTGAGTATCCCAACCTTGGAGCTGTTGGAATACATGTATTGCCTCTTCGGTGTCTTGCTGAGAAAGTGAGCCATCCAGAACGAAACTCGAGTCACCTTAACTAGCAACAGTACACAGAAACAGACAAGTAAATTCCCATGCATATATACATTGCTCAGAACGATCGACAACTCTAAGGGTTGGGCCGCATATGGTCCACCAGCACTGAAAACACTCCTCATCATGGCCCGAAAGCAGGGGTAATACTCCAAAGTCGATCCAGCCGGTTGCTCGACGGTCCAGGTGCAATTCACCGCGGTGCAGAGCAAGATGAGCAATGTGGTCCTGCAGCACCGGTTATTTAGGGTTTCTAGGGTTTGGGGCCGGTAGGGTAGTTTATCGGCTTACAGAGAAAGATAGTATTGGGTTTACTGGGTTTGTGAAATGTTGTAACCTTATATGGGTATATGTAGAACTATATAACCTGTATATTTATAAGTATATGGGTGTATATAGGCTTTGGCATGTTTACAGATTTGCATAAGTCTATAGATATTGCTCTGGTTTGGAGGAAAGATCCGGGCTTTAAGTGGGCTATATAGCAGGTGAGATTGAAGTGGGTCCGGTATCGATTTTGTTCAAACCTACATATGAAGAATCTGTCCTTTCCAACAGCTTGTTGGATGCCCCGACACTCGGGAGACCAATGTATCCCAACGGCGTACATGCCGATCGACCACTGGTGCCACGGTTGAGGCCACAGAAGGACCCACATTTTATCCCGAAGTGCACAAGACCAGTACCATCGGCAAGCTTCAGAATGTACAGGATCGCCAAACTTAGAGCAATGCTACGTTCAACCCTCACACACAACATGTAAAGAGAAACACTCCGCATCAGAACGAATGCTAACGAGCTGCGCGAATCCACTGCTGGAGTTCAGATCCATGAAATTAGACTTCTGTCCCCGAGAAGAAGCATCCTTAATATCGAAGCGTGCAGACTTGTATCTACCCAAAGCACTCATCATCCGATACATTGTCCCACAACCAGCGAAGAACTCCAAGAACTCGTAGTCCTGGGGAGGGCAGTTTTGATTTTTCCAAGTAGGAGGGTTCATCAATCTAACAAGATCAGGCCTGGGTCAAGGTAGTGGAATCGACACTCCAAATAGTCAAGAGGACCGTGAGGATGAAGTCCTGTCCCAAGGAATTCGCAAAGTACTCTACCTCCCTAAGTGCCCCTATCGAGCCCTACATGAAGAGATAGCATTTGTGCCTTTGGGGCTTCCAGCTGAATCAACCGCCAGCAAAGGATATCGACATCCATCATGGCCGGCATCCGATGGTGGAAGGACTGGGCTGTGGATCTATCTAGTGAATGATTACAAGATGCCCCAAATGAAGTGCTGTATATGGCTCCCATTGGACCATGAAGTATATTCAATTGAACTTCTCTGAAAAGTTTTAAATCCCCTGAAGCTCGGTGCTTGTACACATGCCATGGACTTGAATCACAGCATATATATGAACAGTTTCGCACATCGACAAATGCTCACATCCACTCGTGCCATTCAGCAAAGCCTGATTTGCAAACGTGCTGGGGGCACGAACCTGGCGCCTCTGCTCCAGGCGGAACTTCCAGAGCTGCGATGCTTTGAGGAGCAGCGGCATGACTCGGGCCTCGGCAAGGGTATCTATCGATACTATCTAATATATAATATATCTATATATATATATATATGTATATCTATTTATAGCCTTTTCTAAAATATATCTTTATATATATATATTTTTATTTAAAGATGTATGTATGTATATGTATACCTGTGTATATATAATCCCTACATACACCCTCAACCGTATATATATATATATATATATATATATAAGTAGTATTTCATTTAAGATAGGTAGCTTCGGTTTCAATGGAGGTGCACAAGGTTCCTTGTGCTTTGGCTTGGGAAAGGACCGACTAGATGCTTAGGGGTTTCCGGGGGTTTGGGGTTTCGGGCGGGCTTATCTATATATAGGGTTACTACAACGGAACCGTACTGTTCAGGAAGGAAACACATATAGTTTAGAATACAGAGTTAGGAAGCTTCGATAGGGCTCAAGGGGTATCGAGGTTCCGGGTTGCCACGAACACTGACGTGTCTATGTCGACATAGACACTCGATGCTTGTAAGCTTTCGGGCTTGGTGTTTTGGGGTTTGCTTTTCGAGATAAAGTGCTGGATGGCTGATCAGTGCATGTAGTACAGTTAGAGCAGCATCGATGGGGCTCATGGAGTATCAGAGTTCTGGGAACCACAGGCTCGATGATTGCAAGCTTTCGGGCTTGTTGTGGGTCTTGCTTTAACAAACATGTAATGGCTTCTACGGGGGATTAACAGTCTTGGAGGTGTGTCTACAAGTAGAAAGATCGAATGATTCACTGACCAAAGCCAGTTCATGCACACAGAAGCAGCACGAGCGGATGAGATCAAAGGTTTTCCTTTGCGGCGCGGCTCTTCTAGCTGCTTGCCTGGCCCTACTTCTCTGGACTCTGGAGATTCGAGGAACGGGCCTGCCGATTTGGGTTATTGGGGAGCTTGTGGTCTTGAGTACATTCCAACGATCCTTAGGCGGGTTAAGCTATTAGGATATACAAGGCCCACCCTCAAATACCACGGAGCCCGACCAGAAGCCCCGATTAGCCTCGATCGATTCACACTCTGCTGCATCGCTTATTGAAAATATACAGTGTTATCGATGTACATATAACAAGAAGTTATGAATATGTTACATATATACATACATACAGAAACCGAGGCAGTGTAAATCCCGCAAAGCTCGCATCCTGTACTGTCGCGGAACTAAGCACGTGTGCACTTTAGATCGAGCTCCCTCGCACAAGCTACACATGTAGCTGGCACACCCCTCGATCAGGTCTGTACACACCAGCAAGCAGACAGCATCTATGGATGATAACTGCAGAATTTCACATCAAGCCTTCCAAAGCAGACTGCATCTGCTCTTTCAGAAAGTGCGACATCATCGAAACCTCGGCGCTCTCTGTCACATCATCTGCTGTGATATACTCATCTTTGATGAGGAAGTCCACGTAGACTGCCAAGATCTCACCGGTCTTGAGGGCCAAAGCCTGCTTCATGGACCAAGGCACGTCCTTGTAGGCCGACGATGGCGAGAAGTTCGCGATTTCCCTTTTCGCGTTCTTCAAGAGAACTCCCACTGTGGCCCTGGTCCAATACACAGTCAACTGGCAATGCTCCGTGTCCAAGAGGTCCGCCTGCAGCTTACACTTCGTAGACTGGCAAACCGGAAGGCTGGGGAACAGCCGGGCATAGGCCACCATCTTCTCGAGGAGCTCATCTGCCGTCGACACCTCAAAGTACCAAAGGGCCTCCGGCAGCGTGATGCTGCTCAGCTCCGAAGCTGACTGCATCTGCGAAGCCCTGGCGTTGGCTTTGCCTTTCGCCTTTGCTTTTGCCTTTGGCGCTGGCGAGCCACCATCGACTGCATCCTCCTCGCGGGGGCGCTTGTTCTTGCCCTTTGCCGAAGCCTTCGCTTTTGGGGAACCCTTGGCCTTTCCACCGCCCTTCGCCGCCGCCTTTGCGGAAGCTTTCGCCTTGGCTTTCCCCTTGGCCGAAGCTTTCGCCTTAGCCTTTGGCTTTGCCTTCGCCACTTCCTCGCTCTCCGGCGTGGCAAAGGCTTTTGCCTTCGCCTTCGCCTTCGCTTTCCCCTTGGGCCAGCCTCTGGCCTTTGGCCGCTTCTCCGGCTCCGGCGTCTCGTCCGGCACACCATCATCGGCCTCGACCTTCTCCACATCATTCGGCTCCATCTCCTCCGCACTGCTCTTCATCCTGCGGAGCTTTTTGAGCTTGGATGGCTTGCCCTTGCTGGCCTTGCGGCTATTCTTCCTCCGACTCTTACGGGATCCTGTGGTAGCTGCATCCGCCTCGGATTTTGAGGCATGCCCACGCTTGTTCGCCGCCTTGAGTGACTGCCTCGTACGAAGCTGATCCTTTCGCATCACCACATCAGCTTCCTGATGAAACCGATCCCCACAATTTCTCAAAGATACCGAATCCTGGGCATAATATGGACCCCAAGTAAGTGCCAATAGCTTGTTGGGTTGGGCATATATCTTAACAACCCAGTTCTTATAGGAATCCTATGTATATATTTATATACAACCGATTCCAACCTCAGCTTCACTGGCAGTGAACTCTTCAGGAAGTTCAGCTTCTTCAGGAAGTTCAGCTTCTTCAGGAAGTTCAGCTTCTTCAGGAAGTTCAGCTACTTCACGAAGTTCAGGTTCTTCAGCAAGATTCGGTTCAGCTTCAGTTTCAGCACGGTTGCTGTCATCACCCAATGCAAGTGTAGAATCGGGCAACCCATCCCACGGCTGAGTTTCATCCGAATCGAGGCTGAAGGAGCTTCGGGTCGAAAGTGGTCCTGAAGCTCTTAAATCAATAATTGTTTGGGAAGAGAACACATGGAGTCTGATTCTCAAAGCACACTTGGAGTCCTGAACACTCGGAGCTGGCTGAGCTCGGGGGCGGAGTCGTAGTAGCAGAGTTCCTGGGCTGATAAGTTATGTTGCTCTTATATATATATATATATGTAGAAACCCAGAGCGAACAAAACTATTGTCGATCTAGAGGCTTGGAAGCAGCTTCGAGTTTCTGTCGAAGAAGAGCAACTCGAGCAAGCATTGCAGCACGATCGGATGCAGACAAAGATCGGCCTCAGCCAAAACCAAATCCAAGAATCCAGAAGCCCGATAAGTCTAGCCCCCAGAAAAGCCGAGAACGGATGAGGAGCCCACGTGGCGTGTCCGTCCACACCTCTTTGGCTGGAGCACGAAGATCCTGCAAAGTAGGCCGGGTTAGGTTGCTGGGGATTAACATACTAAGCCTGCCCTTCTATTAACTCGATGAATCGTGTCCTCTGAACCGGAACGCCTCAATGGTGCTGACGGTGGGGATGGAGTAATGCTAGGGGCAGTGGCGGTTGCCCTCCGGGCTGGGGTAGTCATAGGTGTCGAGGCACCTGATGTCGGGGTATTCGAAGCTGGAACATCCGTACCTGTTGTAGGCACAAGACTAACAGCATCGGTCGGTGAAGCTACGGCTGGGTTTGCCAGGGTCGGTGCGGCTACAGCTACGGCTGGGTTTGCCACAGGCAGTGCAGCTGGGCTTGCCCGAGCAGCTACGGCTGGGTTTGCCACAGTCGGTGCAGCTGGGTTTGCCGGGGCAGCTACGGCTGGGTTTGCCAGAGTCGGTGCGGCTGGGTTTGCCGGCGCAGCTACGGTTGGGTTTGCCAGAGTCGGTGTGGCTGGGTTTGCCGGCGCAGCTACGGTTGGGTTTGCCACAGAAGTCGGTGCAGCTGCATCGTTATCCGATTGCTCATAGTCATCTTCGTCGGATTCCTTTCCAGGGCTACAACACTGTTGAATTTTTGTTCGAGATGCTACTTCGTAATCAAGTCATTAAATTAGCAGCTTGCATTTATAAACACCTGACCCCTAGCCTCCTCCAGCACATCAGGCTGAGCTTGACGAGCTCTTAGGCGAGCGTTGATGGCATCCACAACTGCCTTCCATTGACAATCTCTCTCTCTCTCTCTCTCTCTCACTCTCTGTCCCCCTCTAGCAATCTTATCTCACTCTCTCCATGTCTGCATTTCTCCGAAGCAAGAATGGCCTGAAGGCCAGGGTCAAGGGTCAGGCACAGCTCCTGGAAGGTAGGATCCTTGGATATCAGAACCCAGTTCACCCTGTAAGCCCGGTAAGCCCTCGAATTATACCTATCAAACCCCACTACAAATAGAACCTCTAACATGCAATCGAAGATCCTGAGAAACTTCTTCTCGTCGGCATTTTGCTTTCACGAAACTGAGGAGTTTCCTAATGTGAGTGGGTTCCGTGCCAACGAACTTGGCCACTTCCGGCCCTGTGCGCTTGCTCGACTCAAAGAGAGCAGCAAGCTCCGAACGAAGATCCGGAACACTTGGTAGTTTCCGGGTCGCATCCCCTGCCATAGCAAGAAGAAGAGGACGAAGTAAAGAAGCATTCAAAGTAGCATTGTGATTGTCGAGACTCAAGGCAGACTTCTCGTGAATAGCACCGTATCCCGAGCGGATGCGCATGCGAATCTCTTCGGATGCATCCCACAACTTATGGACATCCCTGATATCCAATCCTCTTTCCACCGACTCGCCCATGGCCCAGAAGCCTACGAAGACCAAACAAAAATTGAGCTAAATAGCTGCAGGATGTATGATGAAAGCAAACACCTGATGAAAGCAAACACCCTCGGAGGCGATCACACCTTGAGCTCTGGGGATCTGGCACAATCGCTCTTGATGAAAAAGAAGTGGATGCCATTGCAGGGGCTGCGTTCGGATGGCACCTCCTTTTAAGATCGATCGAGCTATGTGCAATGATCTATATATCTTTTGGTCATTTAGTGAGTAACGACCCTCTTCCGAGGCAAGCCCTCTATCCACTTAAACCCTGTATAAAACCCTAGAATATCCCAAATCTCACTCCCACATGATTTAAGAATGGCCTTGCACACTGTGAGTGCTGATCCTGCAGAGGCCTCGGCCGCATCAAAGGGTTCGGGTTTCTCGTTCGGGGTCTTCGCAAGGGCTTCGGGTTTAGTACCTATATGGACCTTTATGTTATTTTGGGGAGTTCACTAGAACTTACAGATCATAAAACTTTCCGAAAGCTATCAATTGCATTGCTTCAGAGCCTATGCCTTCAAGACCCGGGGTTAGCCTCTGGACACGGGGTTTGCATATCAAATGGACCTAAACATCGGTTCTAATATCAAACCCGACATTTTAATAGGGTTTGGGTTCCCCAGGTACTGTGTTATGTTATGTTCGTTTATGTTATGCAAAATGGTTGTATTTCTAAATAGACTGTAGTATAGTATAGGAAGGTATAGTACAGCTTGGTATAGCATAGCATAGTATAACATAGTTCAACATAGCATGTTATCTGATGTCAGAGTATAGCGAAACGAGTACATTACTACTCTTCCCCTAACTTAGTACTTTTATTGTTAGTGTTATGGTAATTGTGATTGTTACTGTTGTTGTTACCGTGTTGATTATTCTTGCAGCATTGAGATATGACAGTGTATCCGACCAAACAGTAAAATGGTAAAATGGATGATACCCAACATTAGATACTACATTTTGTTTGGCTGCCTGTCGTGCTGTTTTTGTTCTGCTGTATTATGTTTTCCAGGTTGTACTATATTCTGTTCTATTCTATTGTTATCTTAGGGTATAGTATAGTGCTTTTCATTGTATCATATGGTCTGATATGACCGAATGTTCTGTTATATTTTACTGTAATATTTTCATTATATTACATGTTTCATATTGTTGAATTATGCTACGCTTGATTTTTTGTATTGTGCCACAATATGTATTGTATGTATAGTGTGTTCTATGGCATTATGTTGCATTGAAATCATGTCATATCGCGTTACATAAGGATATATTGTGTGATACTATATTCCTGAGATCTGGCAGGTGCTGCTGCCGCCGCTGGACCAGGCACCCTAATGCAATCTGACACAGGTGTCAGCCTCCGAAGGTGCCAAGGGTCCGAAGCCAGGTATCTGCGATCTGCAAGAAGGTGCTGGCAACAACGACAATGTCTTGTCTTCTTTGACACGATCGGTCAGTCTCTGTAACCAAGCAACTTCGACGACGTTGGGACATCTGTGCGACTACATGTGTCGCATCCGGCACCAGCGGAAGCAAGGAAGGACTACACCAGCACGCTGCAGTACTGCTTGAGCCCCAACATGCTGCTGGAGTCAAAGGAGCCAAGCATGCGGACCATTGCGGCCCCAGCCGCAAATCGCGCTGCTTTTCATGTTTCCTGCGCAGCAAAAAGGTGGGTGTTCGGAGACATTACAGTGATTACTGTTTCCCATCAACGTCCCTGAAAGCTGCACCAATTGGCTTGCACGCGCTTTATTCCAGGTATGCGTATGCTGTTTGCTATCTGTGTAGTATCGGGGCCTTAAACTACCTACACTATTCTACTCTAAGTAATATAATTACTACGGCCCCTATATCATGTTATGATGCCTCATCTTTCGTCACACGCGATCCGCTGCACCCCAGCAGCTTTCGGCTCGAGTCCGGAGTCCTTTTCTCAACTTTTGTGCTCCGTAGTTTGCTAACTCACGTCTACGCACGATGGCTCACTCTCTTGGCCTCGTGTGTGCAATGGCTTTTTGGGCAGTTTTGTGCAGTGCGCGGCGCAGCAACCATGCGTGGGGGGGATGGGGTGGCTCGGGGGGCCAGAGCAAAGACCCGGCGCTGCAACCGGAGGATCCCAAGACAGAAAATCCCGAGGCTAAGGCCGGCTGGGTTGACTGGGAGGCGGTGGCAAAGAGGGCCAAAGAGACAGGCGTGTCGATGAAGGACGCTGCAGTTGGGATGGGCATTTACGCCAAGGAGACGGCCGAGGACTGAGTCCTTGCGCAGCTGAGAAGCCTAGATGTCACAGTCGTAGCTCGCCGGCACTTCAGGGATCTCTGAAGGGTTTCGGATGTAGACTCAAACGCAGGACGTTCCGTGGAACGACATTGCCGAGCAGGCCAAAAAGCATGGTGAGTCCGCGTATGACGCGGCAAAGAATGTTGAATGGGGGAAGTGGGCTGCCAAGGCGGGCGAGTGGGGAGGTTACGCTGCAGGCTGGCTTGCCGACCACGTGCCAGAACAGCCGGAGGGAGGCAACTCGGGAGGCTTCGCCCACCCGGACACGTTTCCGGCTCAGGCGAAGCCGGGCCCTGGTTTTGGCGGCAAGCCCGAGGTTCAGATGCCAGCGCAGTCGGACGGAGGCAACCAGAATTCTGGAGGCTTCCCCCCGGACATGTTTCCGGCTACGGGCTTTGGTGACGAGCCGGCGCCGGGCTTTGGCCATCCCACGCCACCGCAGCCGGACGGAGGCAAGCAAGGACATGCATTCGGCCTGGATATGAATGCCGGGGGCAACGCAGGAGGCTTCGGCTTCCCGACTCAAGGGGATGCCGGCGCCGGAGGCATGTTCCCTGGTGGGGGCGGGGGCTTCGACATAGGTGCCATGCAGGACTGCGTGGTTCGGTGCTTGTCGGGTTCTGTACAGATGGTTAAAGGTTTGCACGTGGTGGTGGTAGAAGTCGTAGTCGTAGTTTTGTCGTCGTAGGAGTAGTAGTGGTGGTAGCAGTAGTAGTAGTTAGTAGTAGGAGTAGGAGTAGGAGTAGGACTAGCAGCAGCAGCAGTAGCAGCAGCAGGAGCAGTAGCAGGATCAGTAGCAGTAGCAGTAGCAGGAGGTGGAGGCGATAGGCAGGTGCAACAGGTGCCACTCATGGTCTGCGCTACTCCTAGCTAGTAGAGGACAAGATCAACAACATGGCGGCAGATGCGATGAACTGCGCGCAGAAGGAGATGGAGGCGTTTCTTTTCGAAACTAGGTAATCCCCATAGCCAAGTACTGGGGTCGTGCAGTGTATCTAGGGTTTCTCACAACCAAGACCCTTCCACGCCCCCCCCCCTGCGTTTGAGAAGCTACCAGGTCACCTGCAAGGACGCCGAGCTCCGCAAGAATGTTGGTGTGCCGCTCTGGTACTGCTTTATTGCGATCGGCAAAAGAGACCCAGGCCGCTAGTCGGGATGCATTCAAATGCTATAGTCCGTCAATTGCAATGTAGCAAGGTTTCCAGGCAGGATTAGCTCCAGAATGCTGCCCAAACGCTGCCTGCTGCCCTGCCATGACGTTTCTGTTCCGATCACGTGGTTTTAGCTCACTATATCTTTCTATATCTCGCTGGGGGAGAGAGAGAGAGAGAGAGAGAGAGAGAGAGAGAGAGAGAGAGAGAGAGAGAGAGAGAGAGAGAGAGAGAGAGAGAGAGAGAGAGAGAGAGCGAGAGAGAGAGCGAGGGAGGGAGGGAGGGAGAGAGAGGCGGAGCTGTGCACTGTGCAGGCCCCTTTCCACCTTGTGAGGGGGCACCCATGAAGATTGGTGATGCCAGCAAGTGCAAGCAGACGGAGGACGAGATCCGCCAGGCGATGCATGAAGCTAAGGAGATGTGCTACAGCCAGATCCAGGAGTGCGGTATGTCTGTGGTATCGTAAGGTGGCTTTCCGACCATTCGGGACACAGAGCATAGAATAGAAGACCGCATCTGCATATGTATGAATGCCAGGACCTCTACGACTTGCAGAAGGAGTTGGGCAAGTGCGCTGTAAACATCACTGAGACCAAGAAGCAGGTGGAGGAGGATCGCCAGCCCCTTCAGGACATTCAGCAAGAAACAGAGGAGTGCGAGAAGACGAAGGCCAAGAAGGAGTCCGAGGAGTCCTTGGGCTTGAGCTCCGAGAAAGAGGGCTCAACCCATCAGTTTTGCCCCGCCCACATCTCCGAGGTTCAGGCTGCCCTGGAGAAGTACACCGTGGCCGTGGGGGACTGCATCTCCGTGCAGGTCTCCGCCAGTGTGAAAATCCCGGAGATCAACATCGAGATGCCTGAGATCAAGGTGGGCCAGGTCCACTCTGGTTCCTTCGATGTGGAGATTCCGAAGTTCGACGCACCGGACTTCACGGGTGACATTGTGGTGCCCGGCGGCGGTGGCAAGCTGAATGTGGCCCTCAGCGCAGGCGCACGCCAGACGCAAGGTCACACGGAGTCTGAGGTGAAGCCTCTGACCTTCGACCAGCGAGTGGCGAACATCAAGTCGGACATCCAAAAATGCGAAGAGGCGAAGACGAAGGTGGAAAAGACAAAGGAGGAGGTGGCCGGCATGAAGACGCACATCCTGCAGCAGAAGGAGAAGGCCCACGGCCTGGAGAGGAAAATGTAGAAGCCTGAATAATTGCCCTTATTTTAAGTATTGCAAAACATACCCGTACCCCAAGACCCCATTCTATAGTCGTTACGGCCCCTACAGTATCGTGCTAGTTGTTTGCAAGAAAGCGCAACCTAGCCTACGCGGCTCACTACGGTAATCCTAGAGTTGCAATGAGATGTCGTACACGCGTTATAACTGAAGTACTCAAAAACAGTGGAAGGATGGTGCAGGCTAGAAATGACCGTGCGAAGAAAAGAGTAGGATGATGAAGTCCAGTCCTGAGAAGCACCTACCGCCCCACTGAATTCGTGCCGACTGTAGCATGAGTAGTACTAACTACTCGTGTCGAACCCTACTACGACCATTGCTCCGCCTCCAACACTAAACGCCTATAAACCCTAAGTCAACCAAAAAACCGCCCCCTTAACCCTAAACCCTATACCCTAAACCCTATATACCTTAACCTTCCCGCTTCTCAGGCCTGCAAAGAAGGCGGCAGCTTGCTCCAGACTGGCACCAGCCCGGAGGCCAGGATCGCCATCCAGGCTCTGCGGGGGGGCTGCTGATTTAGGGTTTTAAGGTTCAGGGTTTGGAGGTTGATGTTTTGCTGAATTTATCCCAAAATCCTGCGCCAGTTTTTCTTGCGGCGGGTATAACCTGTTTCTGGAGCAGACTAGAGGATCATTCATTGGGGGTTAGCGTTTTGGGGTTCGGGGGTCTTAGTTGAGGGTTTGTTGGGGTTCTATAGGAGTTCCAGGGGTGGGTGCTGGAGATCCAGCACTCGTATGGTACCTACAGTCTCCATTGTAGTTCCTTTTTTTGTTAACTAGTTTTATGGTTAGGATCCTATAGTCGAGTTTTTGGTTCAAAAAATGAACTACAATGGAGACTATAGGTAGAGTTTCAGTATGGTTGTAGTAGAATTCAACGAGAACTGCGGTGCAGAAAAGTACAGAACCGCAAGCCGTAAATTTGCATGGTACACTGGTTGTATGGTAAGTATGCGGCTTCCATGGACTCTGTTCAAGCCAGTTAGGCTCCCGGAAAAGGTTGGAAATTTCGGAGTCTTGAGAGAAGCATGAGCCGTTGAATGCGTGCGGGTTTTCTTGGATATAGGGGCGGTCCGCCTTAGGGTTAGGAGTTCAGTGCTAAATCAACCATAACCGTAACCCTCCCGGAACCTTGAACATCGTCCCACAGTCCCGTGGTATCCCCAGGGCAGATCCAGGGAGGATCCAGGGCAAGCGGAACACTTACGTCCTGTGATGCATCTGGGGGGCAAAGTAGGCCGAAAGGAGCTCCGGATTAAGCTAGAGGCAGGTGCAGCAAGCAGCTTAGCTTGAACCCGAAGCCCATAATGGTACACCCTACCCTAAACCTTGAAATCCAGGCTTGCAACATTCAGCCTCCTGCTTTCGGTCTATTGTGCCTGTGAGGCCCTCCCAGCGGAAATTCTTTCCATCACAGATCTCCCCGACCCTACACGTTGCGGTGGGGGCTTTGAGAAGCAAGCCTCTTGGCCCTAAGGCCTTTCTAGTCCTGGTAGCCTCGCAGGTCTTCTCTGGGATGAAGATGATTTGGAAATGCTCAGCCTCTTGCCTCCGCAAGGAAGCCTAAGTTATCAAGCTTCGGGGGCCTAGGCTCTGGGGTTCTCAGAGCTCAAGGAGTTTGGAGGTTAGGCTTCTGCCATACTGCCGAAGGGCTTCATCGGAATGGACAGTGTGCTTCTCAAGTTTGCGGACATCTCTTGTTGAGATCAAGTCCGTTTTGGATACTTCTGTCACCGATTGATATCCCCGTAGAGTTCTATTCAGTCCCTGCAAACATCCGGGTGCACGAGAGCAAGGCCGTCGGTGAAGCAATCGACGTGCTCATCAAGGTCCTTGAGAAGTGCTGAGAGCATTTTGCTCTCTTGCCCCCTGCACAGCTGGGTGTATTGGCGATGAGGCGCCGATTCGTTTTTGCGAAAAAGGGGCTTGAGGGCTTCGGGACATACAACCAGCAGCGTGTAAGATGTTATGGTGAGCGAGATCAGCTGTTTCCGGCCAGGGCTAGTGAAAGGGACGTTGGGAGGTCAAAGAGAGCATCAGTCTCCTGAACCCTAAACGGTAAATCTGAGTCTCATCTCGCTCTGCTCACAACTGACGATGCCCCACATGATGTCTTTCTTTAGTCGCACTGACATCTTGTTCTTTAGCCTTTGTGGTTGGTTTTCTTCGCCACGCAGAGCTTCGACATGTAAATTCTGGTGACTGCATTGGGTCATGATAGCCAACCATGCTTGGTCATGAGTGTTTCGTTTTGGAGAAGACTCTTCGTGTAGGAGTTTCAGAGAGCAAGGGACTCTAATATGCAACCCTAAATGGTAGGATCCTTAATCCCAGGTTGGAGGATCAACGGACTTCGGGGGATAGTTTGGGGGCTCGCCCACTTTGACCCAGCTGCAAATCGTGCTGCTCGTGATGTTTCCTTCGCAGCAGAAAGTGGGAGTAGATCTTGCCTCTCTTCGTGTCATCTCGGTAGCGATCGCAGACGACTTCCGTGCAAGAAGCGACTGAACAGCCTGATTACTGATCTTAACCAGCTTCCTCGCCCCGGGTAAAGGCCAAGCAGCATTGAAGCCAACCATGGTAATCTCTTTGTTTGGGTACGATGCCGGTGCTCGCCACCAGCGCTGTTATGCAGTACGATGTGTTTCGTTGCGCTACGATAGTTGTAGCCCGTGCATTCTATAGTCGCTGCAATGTCTAGGAAGACCAATACCAATACCTTCCTCGCCCCTGAAGAGTCAGTCAAGCTCTGCAGACAACTCCAAGACTTGTGGTTACACTATTCAATGGCATGTTACAGCATCGCCGGACAACTTCGTACCTAAAGGACTCCTAGGAATGGATTAGCAGCACTGTAACATGTGTTCGTCATGTGCAGATCGGCCGCGTCCATATTTTGCATAGCACAGCCCAGAATGTTGTGTGCTTAGCGAGCTTCCATGGCAACTGAAAGTGGCAGCAGTGCCATGCCAGCCGAAGTCTCAGCGATCTGGTTTTGAGGGTTATGGCAACAAGAGCCAACAGCAGTATATCGAACACAGCAGCCGCCAAAACGCGAAGGAATCAAACAAACGAACTGCCCGCCCGCGGCCCCCGCCTCCCGTCAACCTAACGCCCGCACCAGGCCCGCATCCCACTACCCCGCCACCTCGCCGATGCGCTTGCCTCTCTACCCCTGCCTTTGTTCCTGCCTCCGTCCGCCCCTAAACCCTAGACTCCAAACTTTTCCCCCCCACCCCTTCACCGCCCTCCCTTTCGCGACCCATTTTTGCGCATCCTCGTTCCGTCTCGAATCCGAGGGCTCGGCAGAAATTGCAGCAATCGGCCGGCTCTAGGTTCTAAACCTTCGCCGAAGCAAGTAAGATTGCCGTCGCAGAGGACTATATCTATATGTCTATATCTCTATATCTATGTGTATATATATATATATACAATCTATTCTTGTTCATTCATTTACATATGTATATATATATATATATATACATACGTACATACATACATACATACTTGTATATGTGAGGTCTTGCATGAGAAGCATTGTCGGCACCCGACAGGGTGATTTTGCTTGACGAAGTGTGTGTTTAAGCCTCTTGCTGCGGGCAGCTAGAGGACAAGAGCCATGCCGCAAAGCTTGGAGGTAGTACCAGACAATCCGGAGGCAGTTCTTCCTGAGTTGACGTTGGGCATTCAGGACCGCATTCCGTCTGAAGTTTCAGAATCTCCAGACAAAAATGCAGACGAAGACAAAGCTGTCCGGCTGGTGCAACTATACATCGAATTTATCAATCAGATGATGGCGACACGGCCGGAAATACTTCGCGGTGTCCGAGTTTGGCAACTGTTACGTTATTTGCCGTCGGCCTGGCTACGAGACGACCTCGATTCGTTGCATTCATTTAGTCAGCAGACGACGCAGTTCGATCAGTTCTGGTCCCACAGCTGGAAAGGGCAACGGTGGTCCAAGTATATCAACATCCTGTACCTCCATAATTGCCTGCCGGCAAGCATTGCCGGATCACTGAGTTCAGGCGTAGCCTGCGGCCTGGTCTCAGCGGGACTTCTGGGCGCACGGCAGAGATGGTGTTTGCAGTTCGGGCTTGTAGCCTTTTGCATCACCCTGCTGCTTTGGCGTCCGCGAAAGCTGGTGTTTGTAGACATCGCGTGCATACACCAAACTGACGAAGGCAGAAAGGGAGAGGCCATTATGAGTATGGGTGCATTTTTGAAGCAGTCATCTTCCATGCTGGTTCTCTGGGATCCGACCTGGGTGACAAGACTGCGACTTGGATTCTTTTCGGTCTCCCTGGAACTCGTAAGAGCCTTTTAGCACTGTGAAAACATGATCTTTTCGCATCGACCCTGGAGAACCAAGGTGGTGCATCTTCGAAATAGCTGCCTTTCTACACAGCCGCAGTCCCGGTTCCGAGGCGGATCTGGAGATTGTTCCACCCTTGTTGGGTCCAGCGCTTCTGGGATTTGAGATGCTGTTCGGCATAGCCGGCATTGTGTACGACTACATAGAATCTTCCCTTGCCTCTTCGGAAGATGGAGTACTGGTGGGAGAACTCCACCTGATGCTCATTGGCGTTTTTGTCCTGCTTTTCGGTCTCGCGACACATCTTTTGCGAGGATATGCCCGCAGCGTGGAGATGTTGCAAGACCAACTCCGTGAGTTCAAGGTCGAAAACACGAGCAGCGCGTGTTGCGCCAACTGCAAGAAAGGCGAGTCTGTTCTATGCGACCGTGCTGTCATTCTCGAGTGCATTGCTGCGTGGTACAAATCACTTGACAGCTTTGAGCTGCATGTGCAATCTGATGTGCAGATGGCCGTCATCGATCAACTTGCATATAGAGCCATCTCTTATCAACGTGCTCTGCTTCTGTTTACGCCATATGTGTGGCTTCGTTTGGGGTATGCAGCTAGCCATGCAGGCGATCCCATCCGACAGCTCGTCGATCTGGCCCAGACGTTCACCTACTTCCTGGCAATTTACCCCGTGATGGCCAAACTTTGTTTCCGTCTGTGCTACGGCTTGCGAGCACGATGTTGCAGGCTGTACATAGACTTCTTTCTGTCGATGACGGCCGCGATCGGGGCCTTCTTGTTCTACATTGCTTGCTACGCGATCCAACTCTATGTCTTCCGTCAAAACGACCGGGAACTTCTCCTGAGTGTGATCTCAATGATTTCTTGGTGGACCGTCGGAGCCGTCCTGTGGCGAATTATTTGAGCAGAAGAACCGGGTCACAGGCTTCAGACACTTCAGCCGAAACCTGAATCTCAAACCCTGACTTCAGCCCTACCCAGCACCCCTCGAAGCCCGGAACCCCAAACTGACGGGTACTGGCCCGAGGGTTTGAACCCGAAGGCTCCTAAAGGCAAAGGCCAAACTCCGGTCCAGGACAGCTGCGCTTTGTGCACGTCTCGTGGTCTAGCCGTTCTCATCCTCATAATCAGAATCAGCAAAGCCATATTCATAATTCTGAGATTGGCTATCGTCATCATCACCATCTTCATCGTCATCGGCGAATCATCGGCATCATCCGCATCCTCCTCATCGCTAGCGTCATCATCGAAACACTCCGACATCTTAGCAATTTTCCAACCAAGCCTTGGGCGCAGGTTGGGTTGTGACGTTATTTTTCAAGTGTCAGCCTAGAGCTCCAGTTACCTAAATATTGGACTACTAAACTACATATTACATGGTGTTCGGCCGACTCTTTACTTACCTTTGGTTAGTAGGGAATGGAAGAATGGTAGTCATAGTAGTTGTAATTGTACCCCATTCCTCCATTCCCTGCTAACCAAAGGTAAGTTTAAGGAACTGGAGCCCTACAGTAGAAGCCAGAAAGTTGGAATATCATTATCGTAACCCCTTTAAGGTAAATTATAGGGGATCCTACCATTAATCCATACTCCAACTTTCTGGAGTTCCCTTTAGGGTAAGGGGCTCCCGAATGTGGAACCTGGTGACCGACTGGCCCAAGAGCGGGCCGATGAGGTCGAAAAAAGGGATACCAGCTTTAAGGCTCTTGGAGACTTTGTTACTTTGTTCCTTTTTTGGTTCCGGTCTTCTTTTGTAGGGGTCTCCGAAAAAGTAGTTTTTTGCTTACCTTCCAAGGGGAGTAGAGCCAGGACTTTAATCCAGCGGGCTGAATAGGAGTTTCCGAAAATTGGGGGTACCTTATTTTGGGGTCCTTATAATAGGGATCCTACTATTTAGGGTACTGGATTAGGGTCCCCTATTTTCGAAAACTCCCATATAGTTGCCTACACTATCTGCGGGTTCCTTATTACGTATATGGTATTGCAGTCCTTCAAACCCTATTCCAATTATTAAGGCCCGTATAGTGCACCTGCGGTGTCGCGATCTTTGCCACAGGAACTTGATAATCTGAAGCCACCACACTCATGACAGCGGAGACCTGCTGTTTCGTCGTTCAGGGTTTAAGCAGAGCCTCCTACGACTCTACACAATCAATGGAAGCAGCATAGTTGATCTGTGTAGTTATACTTGCGATGTTCGTAGCAAACATCAGAACCCGCAGCATTGTTGCACAGCGCCAGCAGCGCTCTGAACAACCATGCTCCTGGCCCCAGTACCAACACAGGAGAAAGCGCACGCAGCAGCAATCTCGGCACACATGCCCGATGGCCCAAAGACCCTAAAGCCCTAAGTCCTAAACCCTATAGTTCCCTATACCCAAACAAACCCCTAAACCCTAATCCCTAAACCCGACCTAAGCCCCAAAATCCTTAGACACCCAAACAGCAACCCGAAGTCTCGCAGCAAGAGCCAAATGCACCAATGTTTGAGGCCCTACAATAACTACCACAGGGTTCCCTTACAGGGCTCCTTGAAAGGATCCTATACGGGTACCATAAGGGCCTCATAATAATTGTCTATACTATTGTGGACGGTTCTTATTCTAACTATAGTAGAATATACCCTCAAACCCTGTTCTAATTATTAAGGCCCCTATATTAACTCGAACAACACGGTTTCCCAACGCCAATCATCCGGTCGCCCCCGTGCCCTCTCCCCACCAAGCGCTCTTTTGCGCATGCTCGTTTCGTCTCCGACACCGAGGGCTCGGTAGCATCAGCCGGAATCAGCCGGCACTCCATTCCTAACCTTTCCCGAAGCCTACAGGATTGCTTTCGTAGTGGGAATAGAACGCTCCAAAACATTACCAGTACATGGCAGGCTGGACTTACTTCACGAAGTGTGTGCGTTTAAGTCTCCTGCTACCCGAAGGGCAGGAGCCATGCCGCAAAGCGTGGAGGCATTACCAGGCAATCCCGAGGCGATTCTTCCTGAGGTTGAGTTGGGCATTCAGGACCGCATTCCGTCTGAAGTTTCAGAATCTCCAGACAAACATGCAGACGCAGACAAAGCTGGTCAGCTGGTGCAATTATACATCGCATTTGTCAATCAGATGGTGGTGACACGGCCGGAAATACTCCGTGGTGTCCGAGTTTGGCAACTGTTACGTTATTTGCCGTCGGCCTGGCTACGAGACGACCTCGACTCTTTGCATTCATTTAGTCAGCAGACGACGCAGTTTGATCAGTTCTGGTCCCACAGCTGGAAAGGGCAACGGTGGTCCAAGTACATCAACATCCTGTACCTCCATAATTGCCTGCCGGCAAGCATTGCCGGATCACTGAGTGCAGGCGTAGCCTGCGGCCTGGTCTCAGCGGGACTTCTGGGTGCACGGCAGAGATGGTGTTTGCTGTTCGGGCTTGTAGCCTTTTGCATCACCCTGCTGCTTTGGCGTCCGCGAAAGCTTGTGTTTCTAGACATCGCATGCATACACCAAACTGACGAAGGCAGAAAGGGAGAGGCCATTATGAGCATGGGAGCATTTTTGAAGCAGTCATCTTCCATGCTGGTTCTCTGGGATCCTACCTGGGTGACAAGACTGCGACTTGGATTCTTTTCGGTCTCCCTGGAACTCGTAAGAGCCTTCTAACACTGTACACAGAAAAGGTGAAACCATTGTCTTTTCGCACTGGCTCTGGAGAACCAAGGTGGTGCGTCTTCGAAATAGCTGCCTTTCTACACAGCCGCAGTCCCGGTTCCAAGGCGGATCTACAGATTATTCCACCCTTGTTGGGTCCAGCGCTTCTGGGATTTGAGATGCTGTTCGGCATATGCGGCATTGTGTACGACTACATAGAATCTTCCCTTGCCTCTTCGGAAGATGGAGTCTTGGTGGGAGAACTCCACCTGATGCTCATTGGCGTTTTTGTCCTGCTTCTCGGTCTCGCGACGCACCTTTTGCGAGGATATGCCCGCAGCGTGGAGATGTTGCAAGACCAACTCCGTGAGTTCAAGGTCGAAAACACGAGCAGCGCGTGCTGTGCCAACTGCAAGGAGGACAAGTCTGTTCTATGCGACCGCGAGATCATTCTTGAGTGCATTGCTGCGTGGTACGAATCATTGGACAGCTTTGAACTGCATGTGCAATCTGATGTACGGATGGCCGTCATCGATCAACTTGCATATAGGGCCATCTCTTATCAACGTGCTCTGCTACTGTTTTCGCCATATGTGTGGCTTCGATTGGGGTATGCAGCTAGCCATGCAGGCGATCCCATCCGACAGCTCGTCGATCTGGCCCAGACGTTCACCTACTTCCTGGCAATTTACCCCCTCATGGCCAAACTTTGCTTGCGTCTGTGCTACGGCTTGCGAGCACGATGTTGCAGGCTGTACATAGACTTCTTCCTGTCGATGGCCGTCGTGATTGGGGCCTTCTTTTTCTACATTGCTTGCTACGCGATCCAGCTCTATGTCTTCCGTCAAAACGACCGGGAACTTCTCCTGAGTGTGATCTCAATGATTTCTTGGTGGACCGTCGGAGCCGTCCTGTGGCGAATTATTTGAGCAGAAGAACCGGGTCACAGGCTTCAGACACTTCAGCCGAAACCTGAATCTCAAACCCTGACTTCAGCCCTACCCAGCACCCCTCGAAGCCCGGAACCCCAAACTGACGGGTACTGAACCCGAAGGCTCCTAAAGGCAAAAGCCAAAATCCTTCCCCAAGGGTCGACGACAGCTGCTGTGATACTCATATATAAGTGTGTCAATTTCATCGTCAGCATCGTGATCGTTAACATCATGAGCATCCATGCGAAGCAAGCATGCATCTTAGCAATTTTCCAGCCAGGCCCTCGGCGAAGGTTGAGTTGTTTTAATTCTCGATCTTTTCACGTTGTAGGGCTCCTTTAAGGGATCCTTATCAGTACCCTTTAAGGAAACCCTACATCCCTATCAGTACCCTTAAAGGAAACCCTACATCCCTATCAGTACCCTTAAAGGAGACCCTACAGCACCCATAAGGGATCCATTTACGGGATCCTTTGAGGGTTCCCGAATGTGCAGCCGCAGAGCACCAGCTGGCCCAGGAGTGGTCAGGCGGGGTCGCCAGAAAGGATGCCCCAGGATTTGGGGCTTATGGCTTTAGCGACTTTAGGGCTTTTTAAGGCTTTAGGGTTTACTTTTAGAGCTTTAGGGACTTTAGGGCTTTAAGGCTCTAGGGTTTAGGGACTTTAGGGCTTTAGGCTTTAGGGTTTAGGGTTTAGGGTTGGCGGGAAAGTAGTACTCTTTTGCATTTTGTCATGTTGGTGTCTACTGATGTAAAAACCGCAAACCACGGAACAAGGGTACCCTTGTTATTTAGGTAGTTGTCAAAATTATGGTCCCATGTTGGGCACCCCAAATATTAGGTGCCGTATTATTACGGACCCAAAAAGGGACCATCATTTTGACAACCACTCATTTAGAGTCTAGAGGACGCTGGGGGAACCACCATGCTCATGGCTGTTTAGTCAGTTTAGTCTTGATTTTCAGGGTTTAAGCAGGGCCTCCTACGATTCGACACAATCACTGGAAGCAGCATAGTTGATCTGAGTAGTTATACGTGCGATGCTGATAGCAAATATCAGAACCCGTAAAACAGCGCTCTGGGGTTTCTTTGGGGGTTTAGTAGAGAGTAGGGTTCCCATAATAGGGCTCATATTAAGGAACCCTTACCCCAAGAATATATTAAACCCCCTGACTTACCATGCCCCTGGCCCCAACGCCAACACAGGAGAAAGCGCACACGGCAGCAATCTCAGCATGCCTGATGCCCCAAAGACCCTAAAGCCCTAAGCCCTAAAGCCCTAGCCGAAAACCCCAGGTCCTGAACCCCTCCCTGAAATCTTCCTCTAGTCTCCATTGTAGCTCCTTTTTTTTGGTTAACCAAAAACTCTGTTATAGGATCCTAACCATAAAACTGGTTAACCTTAAAAAAAGGAACTACGATGGAGACTATGGGTTTCCCGGCTTAGGATGCCATCTCCCAAGAGTTCGATCCTCTGATCCCAGCGGAGTCCCAGTTCGAGGTTCGCGTCAACGACCACCATGGCCGGTACATGGTCCCTCACTCAGGGTTTGGGTTTTGGGGCTCTGGGGGTTCGTGGTTTAGGGTTTAGGGTTTGGGGGTTCAGGGTTGGGGGTTTAGGGTTCAGGGTTTGGGGGTTCAGGGTTTGGGATTTAGGGGTTTGGGGGTTCAAGGTTTGGGGTTTAGGGGTTCGGGGTCAGGGTTAGAGCACATATTGAAACGTGGCGACGAGGAGGAGTAGGACGACTGCCGCTGTTACTGCTACTGCTACCACCGGCACAACTGCTCCTGCTGCTGCTGCTCCTGTTGCTCCTACTGCTACTGCTACTGCCACTGCCACCGCCACTGCCACCGCCACCGCCACCGCCACGGCCACGGCCACTGTCACTGCCACTGCCACTGCCACTGCCACCGCCACTGCCACTGCCACTGCTACTAGTACTACTACTACTACTACTACTACTACTACTACTACTACTACGACGACTACTACTACTACTACTACTCCTACTACTACTACTACTACTACTGCTGCTCCTACTACTACTACTACTACTACTACTACTACTACTACTACTACTAGTACTACTAGTACTACTAGTACTACTAGTACTACTAGTACTACTAGTACTACTAGTACTACTATTACTACTACTACTACTACTACTACTACTACTACTACTACTACTACTACTACTACTACTACTACTACTACTAGTACTACTAGTACTACTAGTACTAGTACTACTAGTACTACTAGTACTACTAGTACTACTAGTACTACTACTAACTACTACTACTACTACTACTACTACTACTACTACTACTACTACTACTACTACTACTACTACTACTACTACTACTACTGCTACTAGTACTACTACCACAACTACTTCTTCTTCTACTACTACTACCACTACTACTACTACTACTACTACTACTACTACTACTACTGCTACTACTACTACTACTACTGCTACTACTACTACTACTACTACTACTACTACTACTGCATATATACGAAATTCAAGCAATGAGCAATAGTGCCTGTGATATATATATATATATATATATACATATTGAGATGTATTTCTTCGTTCGTTATATGGAAAACACGTCAAGTATTATAGAATATGCATACCTATAAATCTGCTTGTGCGCAACAGTGACATCAACAGTGGTTGGATCCATCCTTTGAGGTTAGCCGTGTGCCGCTGGCCTTGGGAAGTTGGTTTCTCGTGGAGGCGGTGGACATGAAAGTGACCTAGGACCTAGGATCGCATGATTGCTGGGCTTTGGAATACCATACTTTAATACTTTTCTTCTTTTGAAGGAACCCTTATGAAATGAAAGTTTCTGCTTTCTTCTCCCTGGATACTTGAAAGCCCAGATTAGTTTAGGGTTTAGGGTGCACCATGAAGTTTGTAGGGACTCAAAGCATCGTGGCACGTAGCGCGCAGGGCTCGGACATGAGAATTACGGGCTTTAGGTTTTTGGGTTTGAAGGTTGGGGTTATGCCGGTCACACGCACAGTCCACCCTGACCTCCATACTCCATGAGCTGAGAACTCGGGAACGGGCCTCAGCGAGGGGCAGTAAGTATCGGCTTTTTGCCGATTATAGTATTGTTTCTTACCAGATTGTTAGTGTGATTGTTATTGTTAGGATCAGTACTGTTATTACTATGATTACTATATTTATATGATAGCTATGGTAATTATTATTGATATGCCATTAGTAGCATGTCATGATTCCTATCATGACCGTCATTACTATTACCATTGTTATTACTACTAGTGTTTGTAATTAGATTCAAACTATTAGTTCTTAATTCGTTCTTACTACCATTATTGCTATCAACCCAACCACAAGGCTTCAGGCAAAGAGCATTGAAGGCTCTAAGCCCATGAGCTTTACGCCGAAAGACTTCCGGGGCTTTATGGGCCGCTTCTGAGTTCCGTGTGTCGCTATTGCTAGTAACATCACAAGGACGTTTAAGAGGGTGAGGGGTACGTCGCCTTACTCCTAATGATCCGTATGGTCGTAGAGTTCTCCTATATGCTCCTTCGGTGTCGAGCGTTTCTTCGTCTGCGTGTGGTCCATCGAGTTGCGGTAAGCAGAACATGGAGCGCTCCGGAGGTTGCTAATGGAGTCCCTGTATGCGGACCCTTGAAAGGAGGCCCTTGAAGCAAGACCCCTGACTCAGTGGATGCTTGTTTCGCTAGAGCAGAAAGCCTTAAATCCCATGGCCAAGGTAAGTTCACCCTCAGGGATATTGTCGTACATTATTGAGTTTTCAAAATTAAACAACAGTACACACCATAGCATGTACTGACCGGGGCGGAAGCCCCTTTCATCTTGAGACCCTGCAAGTCCTATTCATCAGAAGATTCGTCTCCCAAGCCCTGTAAGCCCAAAGCCTTTCAGCCTAGCATCCCAATAAGTCCTTCGGCGGAAAGCCTTGCAACCAGCCCCCTGTGCAACAAAAACTCTGACAGAGCTGAGACACTGCATAGCCCTCACGACCCCAAGCCCCACAAAGCAAAAGGACAGCTGAAACCCTTAAGCCGTACAGACATAGCCTGAACCCTTGGGTCGCTAAGCTCAGACTGAAGCGCAAACAACAATTTGCGCACCTCCTTAGCCCTAAGCCCACGAAACTCTCTACCCTAAACCCTAAACCCAGAAGCCCTAAACCATCAATTTCCCCTGAAACATAACCCCTAAACCCTATCTCTTAACCCTAGGCCCTTCAACCCCAAACGATAAGCCCTAAAGCCCTAAACCGCCCTAAACCCCAAACGACGATGGCCTTTGCGCGCCAGACTCCTCTGGTTTGTTGGCCCCTGTCCAGACAGGAGGGCAGCTTCCGGCTTGTTTGTGTTCTGGGATGTTCAGGGTTTAGGGGTTTCGGGGGGGGGTTTGAAGTGAGGGAGGGGTTTAGCTTAGGGCTTTGGGGGGGGGTCACGGAGTCGGACTTGGGTTTGGAGGGCTTACTTACAACTACAGTAGGGTTTAGTTCAGTTTGGTTTGGGTGTCGGACTTAAGGATCAGGGTTTGCGGAATAGGGCCTCGGGGAGTTCTGGTTGTAGTGTTTGGGCATGTTTGGGCTATCGTCTGGGCACTGATGCGCTGGCTCCAGACCCTTCGCTGTAGCTCCGGCGCATTGCCGGGAGCATTGCATTGCCCAATGCGATATCCTCAACAATGACTTGTTCACTTAGCAAAGGCCATGTACTGCGCTGTATCATGCTGTGGTAGAAAATCTGTATACGACATACATAATTACATGCATAGGCATACAGGGATACAGGCAGACCCACATACAGACACACAGACACACAGACAGACAGACATACAGGCATGCAGAACACAGACAGACATACATTCTTACATGCTTACACACATACATACATACATACATACATACATACATACATACATACATACACACACATATATATATATATATATGTATAGACAAGCGCCTGCCTACCTACATACATACTTATGGCTGCAAAATACTCCCAGTTCTGCACGGGAATTGGATGTAGAAGTCAACTTTAACGGCTTGCGAGATCCTCGGTGTGAGCATAGCAACGCCGCCCTTTGCGATTTCCGAGCCAAGCCATGGGAAATCAGGGCTTCTGCAGCCCTGACCCTCAGGGAGGCGATGCACCGGTGAAGCCCGTGCATCCATGCTACTTCCCCATGTATGTGGTGAAGGCGGAAGGGGGCAAACTCAGGCGTTCTTCGTGTGATACTAAGGCCAACGGCAGCTCTGTAGGGTTTAGGGTTTAGGGAGCCTTACACCCCTGAGTCAGCTAAACCCAGCCACCCCAAACCACCCTAAACCCTTCGAACTCCTCAGCGTCAGGTCACGGATTTCCTGCAGATGGACGGGCCTCCAGAGGCCTTGTCATATTCGGCAGATTCAAAGCGGGGTCTGGACTTTCTTCTCTACTGCGGGGGGCTTAATGATTACCTATACTATTCTGGGGATTCCTTACTACAAGAATAGTATAGTGGGCCCTAAGACCCTTTCCTAATTATTACGGCCCCTGTAGTAGTCTGACAGGATTGGGTCGGGTTTAGGTTTTGTCGAGCCGTGACCAGGCTCACCACGCGCTGCTGAGAAAGGGTCTTCTCCGTCAGTGGCAGCCTGGTCTTTTCGTCATCTTCGTGTCGCACCAATGGCTTGGGAGGTCGCATCCTGATCCGCGGCGGCAGAACTGAACCGCACGAGCTACTGCCGGTACCCCCGGTGCGACGCCTTGATTGCCCGGGTGCACTTCGGGGGGGTTCTCATGGTTTAGCCAAGTCATGGACGCCACACACCCTCATCCTTATGATCATCATCGTCGTCGTCCCCACCGTACCCCAACAGCTCCACATTCATGTTCGTCTCTTGGAGCAGTTGCCTCCAGGGTATCTTACAGCGGCATGCTATGTAGCGATTCTTTCTGCCTCATGGCTCTTCTTGATACTACGAGAAATGGTACGGTGTGAAGTGTACCCCACATTGGAAAGCTCGAGTCCTCAGTCTACCTTATAGCGTCCGGCCCTCCATCGTCATGCACCCTACGCCTGAAACCCCAATCCCCAAACCGCTCAACCCTAAACCCTACACCACTCAAGCCTAAACCCTAAACTGCACCCTAACCACTCAAACTTAAACCCTAAACTGGACCCTAAACCACTCAAGCCAAAACTCTGCGAAACCTCCGAGGACCCCCTAATAGTAGAGTAGGTAACCTTTTAACCTTTTTTGGGGTAGTATAAATAACCCCTACATAATCAAAAAGGTTAACCTTTGGTTCCCCATGCCCATGATACCCGACAAGTAAACCCTAAACCCTAAACTCCTAAACCCAAAACCCCGAACCCCTAAACCCTAAACCGCTAAAGCCTGACCCTAAACAATTAGCCCCTAAACCCAGAACCCTAAACCCGTAAACCCTAACCCCTAAACCCTGACCCCCTTAAGCTCTAAACCGAAAGCCCGGCGAATCTCCCAGGACCCGGATGGCCAGCACGCCAGCATCCTGCGCCGATCGCTCGAGGGCATGATCGAGGGCACCCTGCAGGCTGGTGTAGGGTTTACCCGTTTCGGGTTAGGGGTTAATTAGGGGTTTAGGGTTTAGGGGTTTAGGGTTTAGATACCTTAACTACCGTCTCCTTAGGAGTTATGTTTCAGTTTTTTCTTCATCTAAATCCTAAGAGAATATTAAGGATATTGTTTCTGTTGTGGTTTTAAGGGGGGTATAGGCTTGAGGGAAGCAGCGACCTCAACGGATGTACGTTTTTCGGGAGGTGGGGATTTCTTTTGCGGAAAATTAGGGAACTTGGGTTTTGGGTAACTAGGGAACCCCCTCTAGGCTTTTGTGAAAGACTATTGAAACACTGTATCACAAACTTTGGCCCAAACCGTATATTCAACATTGAGCCATTGGTAGGAGTTTGGGCAATACGGGGTTTGGTGTTTACTGTTTGGGGGGATGGTATTTTCAAATTCAGGACTATGCGATCTAGGAATCTAGGAATGTTTGAGATCTAGCTGAAAGGGGTTAAGGCTTAAGGTTTTACGTTTAGGATGTGGGGCTTCAGGGGTTTCGGTGTCTAGGATCCAGGACTCAGGGTCTCTGCTTTAGGCTTTGATGTTGAAGATTCGGATTTCAGGGTTGCTTTTGGCTGAGGGGTGGTTGGCAAGATGTTGAAATCTCGCGGATAAGAGGACCCAAGCTTGTGCGTTGGGTCACAAATTGGTAAAGAGGTTGCTTCAAAGGTTGCTCTGTACTGTAAGGGGCAGAGTCAGAGTGCTTAAACAGTCTCGAAAGATGCGAAGAGTGCTGAAACAGTCCCGTTAGGCACGGCTGGGCCTAAGTATAAAACGGCGTAGCTACTACAGGGTGCAATTTGGGAAAGCAGCAGCTTTTGGAACATGGCTCTCTGCTTGGTATGTATGCATGTACATAAATATGTATATATATATATATATGCATATTTCTGCATGTGAATCTGAAGAACAGGCAGAATTCGAGATCGAGGATGAGGCCCCCAGCCGCCGTCGTCTACTCGAGCCGTCGAAGATTAGCCAAGGCTTCCTTTTCTTGGATTGGCCCTCTGGCAGGGTTTAGGGGCTTTTAGGGGTTTGAGGGTGTAGAGTTTAGGGGTTCGGGTTTAGAAGTTTCGGGGTTTAGGGCTTTAGGGTATAGAGTTTGGGGTTAGGGGTTTAGGGCGCTTAGTGGTTTGGGGTTTGGGGATTTAGGTGTTTTGGGGTCTAGGAGTTTAGGGAGGGAGAGTGAGGGTTCGGGCTTGGGTTCTAAGCACCCTAAATGGAGTTACCCCAATTATAACCCTGCATATAAACGACCTACTAAGTCCCCTGCCCCTCCAAGTAGGGGTTAGGGTTCAGAGAGTCATGTCCAGGGTTCCGGGCTTAGGATCTTGGGTTTAAGGTTGTGCGGCATTGTGAAGATTTTGTAGGGTTAACAAGTTACAGGGCTAGGATTATCCGTTAAATTAAATCCTGAAGATACCCCCTCAATGTGTAGTCCCTACAGAATGATCTTGTGACATACCCTCCACCAAACTCCAAGACTTAAGCCGACTTACTTACCTTTGGTTAGTAGGGAATGGAGGAATGGTAGCAATAGTAGTTATAATTGTTCCCCATTCCTCCATTCCCTACTAACCGAAGGTAAGCTTAAGCCCCAGAAGTTAAAATCCCACGGCTTGAATCAGAGACTGAGGTTTGCAATCCCGCAGATCACTGCCAGGGCAGTGGGCGTCAACGAGCAGGCAGGAATGAACTCGTAACCGTCTCTGATCAGGTGAACATTATAGAACCCAGAGACTCCAGTATCCCTTAACTAAGGAATATACCTTATATAAATCCTTTTTAGGGATCCTACTTTAATTAATTTAAAGCATATTCCTCACCTAGGGGATATTGGAGTCTTTTTGTACAGCATTATACAGGCCCTCTTCAATCCAAAATGGGAGCCCTTAAGATGCCCTTCGGGTTTAGGGTTTAATTAGGGTTTCGGGTTTAGGGTTTAATTAGGGTTTCGGGTTTAGGGTTTAATTAGGGTTTAGGGTTTGGGGTTTAATTAGGGTTTCGGGTTTAGGGTTTAATTAGGGTTTAGGGTTTAGGGTTTCCTTAAGTAAGAGGGCTCTGGGCACCCCAGGTCCCCGCACGCGTGAAGTGTGGGGGTATTGGTTTAGGGTCTGTAGGTTTGTTGTGGGTTTGGGATTGTGGACACGCAGCTTCAGAGGGCCAGGGTGGTGCGAAATAGACTTGACGGAACTGAGGGTCAAACCGGAAAGTAGAAGCCAGAAAGTTGGAACACACTTATCCCGGCAACTGTCTGGGTATCACTATAAACCTCAGCTTCACGAGGGTTTCGACCAGACATAGAGCATGAAAGCCACACAACAAGAACGATAACTCAGCTCTAGAAGGCACCGATCCTTCAGTCTTCCCACCCAGACTTCACAGCCCTACTATCCCCACCCAGAAGTCGTCACAAGAAGGATGCTTTTGACTGGATCTCGAACTCGTCAAGTTCAGGCCACGAAGACAGATGCCGCACGAGCTGTTCAAAGCATCCCGTTCTACGTTGAGGCGCACCTGACAGCATGTCATCAGCGCTTTCTTAGGAGCCTGCGTGATGGAAGTGACAGACCATGTTACAAACACTGACGGGTGGTGAGAGCATGTGCCAGGGAATTTCGAACCCCGACGCGATTGCGGAGTACTATTCCCAATGAAACCCCAAAACCCCAATCCCTGAACAGACGGTTTCAGCTGAGTTTGCCTGGCAAGCTCGTTGGTTCAGGTTTCCGACGTTCTTCTGGCCCTCGTCCCGGAGTTGGTGCACACCGAAACCGGGCAGTATTGCAACTACACCTCCTGGTTTTCCAGGCCCTTCAAACCCCGTCATTGATGTAATCAATAGATATATACATATATATATATATATAATCATATTTATATTTATGTACATATATATATATGTATATATATATATAGGGCCTGAGTTCCCTACGTCAGGTTTTCTACCAAAGATGCCCGCAAATCCTGCCATGATTTAATGTTTAAGGCTTCGATCTATATTTACCCTCCAAGCCCTTAGGAAGGTAGACAGACCCTAAACCCTAAACCCTACAAGTTCAAGTTCAAGTCCCCCCTCGACCAGGGGCTGGTGTCGGGCAGAACTCTGGTGTCACGTCTTGAGCAACAAGCGCGACAAGAGCGTGGTGGTCGTGCATTCAACTCTAGAAGCAAAATTCATGCAGTCGTGGGATTGGCAGAATAATATAGTTGTCGACGGGGAGTTCACTGTCGAAAAGGATCGTGCTGTTGTCGGAAGCCTGGGAAGACGAGCGATTGAGAGCAAGATTGCTCACCTCTCAGAGGAAGGGCCATTGGAGGCATATCGGTATTTCCTGGCGCGGCAGGCCGCCATGTTGGGCCAGCCATCGAAGACCTGGGATATGAACGGTTTCCTGGAGAGGTTTAAGTTTCCAAGTATGGAAGTGGCTGTGAAAGACACCAGCAGCATGAATGCCGTGATGTGCGCAGTCATGTCTGGAGATGTGATGATGCTGCGGCTCTTGGCGACATACGCAGCCGACTTGAATTTCACCATTTATGGCCTAAACAGCCTTGGCTTCCGCGACAGCTTCACGGTCCTCATGGCAGCAGTGAAGTCCAATCAGCCAGCTTCACTGATTGCCAGCTTGATCCACCTACGAGCCGATGTCTCCCGCAGAGCAGACATCGGGGATAATGTGGTGTGCCACGTGAAGCGCCCGGAGCATGTGCAAGTCTTGCTGCAAGCGCGCGCGGACTTCCACACCGCGCACGAGCCCTTCTGCTTCACCCCACTAACACAAGCCTCCGGGATGACCAGTGCCCCCACTTTGAAAGCGCTGCTGATGGCCAGATGCGATCCGAACCCCAGCCAAAGCGGCCTGGGGATAACGCCCCTCATTGGCTCGATCCGATTTGCACGGGGGAGCCCTCATGCGCTTGAGTCGGTGTCATTGCTCTTGGATTACCGGGCAGACATCAACGCGACTCAGATGGAAATTTGAGCCAAAAGGATAACGGTTTTGCTGTTGCTTATTGAGAACGAAAAGATCGTTTTTAGTACTGGCACTGCTTAGAGGCTGGATTGACGAATTGTCCTGCCATTCCAAGCCTTACTAATCGCAATTTCAAACTGCCCCGTGGTTCAGATAAACTATATAGGTCACCCCTCCGAAACTTTCAGGCGCGAGCTGCACCTCGTGGTGCCTTCGCCTGGGTGGCTCTCCAAGCCCGCGCGAGGTCGCTTTGCATCTGAGTTTAGCGTGTAGCTAGACCTACCGCTTAAGGTGTTTGTAGTTTCCTTTTATATATACATATATACATATATACACGCGCACACACACACACACACTGCTCAATTTTATAGTCACGATCATTATCGTTGTTGCGGTTATTTCGTTCTACGTTTGTTGGGCTACCGGCAGGGTGTGGAAGCTGGAGTAGGGCATCGGTGGTGTGTAAATTCTTTTTTTCCGGGACTAGGGTTTCTGATGGCTTAAAGCTCAAATGTTGAGGGAAACGGTGTTCTAAATGTTGACGTTGATGATGCAAGAACGACTATTTGTTTGACGCTGATGATGCAAGAACAACTACTGTTTTTCAAGCATGGTTTGATAGTTCATTCTGCACCCTAAGCTCTAAACCCCAAGCTAGGTTTCGCTTTTACCTTATGCTGTAGCCCAAAAAAAACGAAGCTCTAAGCCCTGAACAACACGAAGCCCTCACTCCGAGACACAACCTCAGCCCTAATCCATGAACAGACACCCTAAAAGCAAATCTCAACTCTGTTCCTTTGTCTCTCTCTCTCTCTCTCTCTCTCTCTCTCTCTCTCTCTCTCTCTCTCTCTCTCTCTCACATGCAAGTATGCATGCATTGCTGCATGCATTCACGTATACATACACATGTGTATATATATACACATATGTCACATACATACATACATACATACATATGCATATGCATATGCATATGCATATACATATACATATACATATACATATACATATGCACAAACACACATATTCGTGTGTATATCTGTATATCAGTAAAGCTATGTGTATATGTACATATTGATGCACGTTGTGTTCTGTATGTGTGTATTCATATCTGTATATGTGTGTGCATATACAAATACATACATACATACATGCACACATACATACATATATACATTGTGCCCGAATGCTGCGCAGAAGGGTTCCCGTTTGAAAGGTTGGGGTCCAGGGGTCCAGCAGGTGACTAGCGATCGTTGTTAAAGCGTCCGCAAAGCGTCCGCAAAGCGTCCGCAGGCGTCCGCAAGCGTTCGCAAAGCGTCTGCGTGTGACGCGAGGCGTGTCGCGCAGCGCTGTTAAGGGGGAACTCCACAGAACGCGCGTCCCGACGGCGTTCTGAATCCGTCAAGCGAAGGGGGAACTCCACAGGCAGAACGCGCGTCCCGACGGCGTTCTGAATCCGTCAAGCCCGACGGCGGTGCGTCCCGACGGCGTTCTGAATCCGTCAAGCTAAGGGGGAACTCCACAGGACGCGTGTTCCGGCAGCGTCCCGGCAGCATCCCGACGGCGTTCTGAATCCGTGAAGCCCGGCGGCGGCGCGTCCCGACGGCGTTCTGAATCCGTCAAGCTATAAGGGGGAACTCCACAGGAGGCGTGTTTCTCCGGCTATTTTCCTTAGGGAATGCGATATCTGCGTTACGCGTGTCTGCATTCGGGTTCGTGGCCCCTATCAGGTTTTTAACTATGTAACTATATAGCTCTCTCTCTCTCTCTCTCTCTCTATATATATATATATATATTACATGTGTAAATCTCTCGGACCTACACCCTTCGCCTGGCCCTGCCAGCTGAGGTCTGCCTTGGTGGGCCTTGAGCTCCTTCTCAGCATCTCAGGGTCTCAAAGGGAGCTTTTCGGGTCGGGCTTAGGGTTTTAGGTTTAGGGTTTAGGGCTTAAGTTTAGGCATTTAGGGCAGTTGAGGGTTTAGGGTTTAGGTCCAGGCATTCGGGGCAGTTGAGGGTTTAGGGTTTAAGTTTAGGCATTTAGGGCCGTTGAGGGCTACCGTTTGGGATTTGATTAAAGTTAGAGGCTCAGCATATACTGAATAAATGAGCTTCCGAACACCCCAGGCCGCCATATTCCTATGAGTTTATAAGGAGAAAGCCATGGTTCGATGTAGGGCGCTTAACACGCCAAGTATTTGTATGTTGGGGATTGCGAGTCTTGAGTTTGTTAGCCTGTTGTGTATGGGGGGCTTGACAAAACATCCTAGTGCACACAGGTTTAGGGTTTAGGGCTTTTGTTAGGATTGCCTTCTGCTCTAAGCTTATGGGCCTGAAGCCGTAGCAATATAGTTTTCTTTTCAGAATGCTCTGATGTTTGCACACGGTTTTAGGTGTTCTAAACTTCCCTTGTCGGGCTGCTTTCGCTCGAGATCCTGCTTTATTTATGTGGGTCACATTTTCTCAAGAACTCATATACGGGCCTGAATGTCGCTGACAAATCTTCCTGAGCGTTCACTCACACTCCTTCATTAGAGTACAACACACACGGCCAGAGCCCGTTGTCTAAATATCTTGGCCTCTTCATTTGTGTTTTGCATGACAGCTTACGTATTTAGGTCCCATGGATGTTTATGGTTGAAGGCCGGCTGTGGGGTCGGATGTAAAATCGGGGCTCAAGGCTATTATAATTTGCATCAGGTGCTGTCCAATCCCCTAGACCCTAAAACAGGCCCTGAACCTCAAAGCCCTAAACCCGTAAGCCCGCCGGCCATGCTATACCAACGGAAGCAGAAGCAGATGTGCGCCAGCCGCAAGCCTGCAATCGCGCTGGTGGCATCTTGAATCTGCAAAGCCCTACGAGCAGGCAAGGAAGCCCTAACAGTAATAGCCACAAGAACAATACTAATGACAGACTGTTATTACTCAAAACAACAGCAACAGCAACTATATTAAGACTAAATTCTGATAGTGCTATTGAGTAGTCATAACAATAGTCGTCATAGCCATAGCAAGATTGAGCACACTGAGAGTAGCAGTAGTAGTGACAGATGTTTTAAATGTCCGTGCGAACAGTATTGACAACAAAAGAGACAATACCAGCAGTAATCAAATCGGTAGAACGATGACAACGACAAACCACAATAGCATCATAACAATAGTAGGACAGCGCCAGTACTTTGATACTGCTACTAATCTTCAGAATAACAGTAGTAACACTGTTAACAGTCAGACTAGTCGCAAGAAAGTCGTAGATATTCAATGATGATAGTAATCATAGTAAGAACAGTACCAACAAAAAAGGAAGAAGAAGATCGTATTAGTACCAATAAAAACAGTAAGAAGACAAATACATGTACCTCCAGCAAGATGAGGTCCAGCGCTCAGAGCACGAGGCAATGGGCGGGCCTGCCCGGTGCAACACCGTTGGGCATGGCTGCAAGTATCGGCAACGAGGCCTTGTCGTGTATGTTCTGTATATATATATATATATATATATATATGCATATACATGTGTGTATCTGTGTTTATATACATTTGTATCGTGTATGTGTACATACAAGTGTATACGGTTACATGCACACAGGGTATACAAACATATATACACACATAAGATGCTATGCTTTGTTCTATGATGTGATACTATACTTAACCCTACCGTAATATGTTAGAAATATACCACATTATATGTTGTACTTCATTGTTCGATCTCACACTATGTTATACTTGACTATCATATTCTGCGATCACATCTACACATACATACATACACACATACATACATACATACATAAATACATAAACACATACATAATTACTTACATACATGCATACAGATTTCCGAGCAAGCGGGGCCTCAAGCCTTGAAGCGGCCCTACAACAACAATCAGGTCACTATAGGATTGCGAGTTATCGGCCAGAGAAATGAAGCGTCAAGCTATGACGAGCATGACGCTAGATAGTGACATTCCTGCACGCTTTTCATAGTACTGGTTAAGGCAGGCATGTCAAAAATATGCCAGAAAAGTCCTGCACACTCCCCCTAAACCCCTAAGCCCCGAAGCTACTATACCCTCAACCCCACACAAGGCCCTGTCTCTGCAGGCGCTCCTGAACCTTCTGCTACAAGAGGGCGCCACGATGGCGGAGAACGATCGAGGCTGTGCGTGCACTCCTACTTGAACGTTAACATCGTGACATAATCTTACCTTTGGTTAGTAGGGAATGGAGGATTGGGGTTTAGGGTCTAGGGTTTAGGGTTGGGGTTTAGGGTTTGGGTTTAGGGTTTGGGCATGGAGGAATGGGGTGCAATTATAACTACTCTTACTACCGTTCTTCCATTCCCTACTAACCAAAGGTAGGTAATATGTCGTGATAGGATATGGTGCTGTCTGGTATGATGCAATGCGTCTTTGATTGCGGCTACTATTCGGCAGCAGACGAAGTATCAGCTAAGTGCTTCCTTGTCTCCTTTGTGAGCTACCTTCGCCGGGAACTTTGGTTTCTTTCGGCCCAGTCAAGGCTAGGTCACATTGAATCTCCGAGTCCTGCAGCCGCGTTTTCCAGCTAATCCCACTTTGCTGCCATCAGCCTGTCCGGTGAGTGCTTTAAATGTTCCAGGTTGTTGGGTGATGTGCCTTGTTGCTTTTTGTTTCCGGGCTCCCTCGACCCAGACTGTACGTGCTCCCAGTGGCTTACTGAATTGCCAAGTTACTGTTGCTGTGAAGTACTATCAGGAGCCCTGCAGACCCTAAGCCCTGAACCCTCACCCGAAACCAAAACTCAATGTCGCAGAAGTCCCGAACGCCGCTAAAGCCCTGAAACTCTGAAGCTCTAAACCCTGAAGTTCAGGGCTTATATACCTAGCCTCCAATATATCCGAATACCCGCCGCGATTAACGGCCATGAAGGCTCTATTACAGGGCCCTTGGGGGGTCCTGATACCCTAACCCTCCAAAATCAAACAAGTATAGCATATCACAGCCCCAAACCCTTTTCTAAATATTAAGACCCGACATTAGGGCCCGAGAGGATCTCTTTTCTTACCTTTGGTTAGTAGGGAATGGAAGAATGGTAGCAATAGTAGTTATATTTGTACGCCATTCCTCCATTCCCTACTACCCTAAACCCAAACCCTAAACCCAAACCCTAACCCCTAAGCCCTAAACCCTATTCCTTAAACAAACACCCTATTCTTCCATTCCATACTAAGCAACGGTAAGTTTTTTGAAGCCCTGGTGGAGGCGACACTCCAGAGGATCTC